CAAGGGGTGTATTGTGCAATACTTGATGGCTCGAAACGACTTCAGGTTTGGTATCTCAGTGAATCATGCGGTCGAATAGAATGGGTATTAAAACATGATACCCGACTTGAGACCGTCTATGCTCAACAACTGGCCAGACAATGGATCTTACAACAGGTTAACCACCGTAAGGAGTACCCTGAGCACAAAGCCTCAGTGGACATGAAATATGACTATGACTGGAACTCTGATGAGGATAACGTTCTTGACACTGAAGACGTCGTTGAAGAGGCTGTGGATGTCATTGAAGATGAAGAGCACATATCTTATGGTTTCCTTGGATTTCATCCTGATAAAGAGGTTGTCTTCTTGAATACACCAACAAGAGGACTAGCCTATGACTGGATCAACTCAAAATTTCAGGACTTGGGCAGTTCATGGACATGTCAAGAGTATGGAACACCATATGGAGAGACAGGCGTATCTTTCCCATACACGCCTTGCTGCGTAAGCGCGTTTCCTGGAAATGAATTAGAATCTCTTCTTTTAGACGAGAAGCTATATAGGAACAAGCTAGAACTGGAAGCTCAACGAGGAGGAATCCTACTTCACCTACATGGGCGAGTACGAGCTGCGCAAGCAGTCTGGGCGTGCCAAGAGGGTCAAGGATTCTGCCGCCAAGATTCGTCGCAGACACCTCATTGCCGCTCGGTTGGAACCCATCATTACCGACATGAAGTCGAAGGCGATTCGCACCGGGGCGACCGAGTTCAACCTTGGCAAGGCCACCACAGAACTAGTGACCACCACAGTTGGATCCTAGCTTCCTACTTGATTAGTTTCCTGGAAACAAAGATGAGTAGGTTTGTGCGCATCAGATGCCCTAACCGTCGTCAGCTGCATTTATCTTGGCTTACTTATCTATTTGTGCTCAACTGCTGTCGGAGCCTTGTCTCTGTACTCTGCACAATTTGTATCCTTGTTATTTCGGTTTGCCTTGTATAATAAGACGACTATGTGACTTTGTTATTTTCCACTATCGAGCTTTATTAATTTAAACCCGATTGTTTCTTGTGACTTTCTTCTAAAGTAGGTATGTGCAAGCATATTGGAAAATCAACTTGAAGATGACTCATGTCTGAGGCCATGTGTAGTGACTTGTTGGCTCAATGAAAAACAATGTTTTATACCCTTTTTGTGTACCTTGCATTTAATTGGAGAAAGCTAACATTGTCTGCCATGCATCTGCCTTCCTATTTGGTCAAGAACGCACACAAGTTCAGGTTCTTGCTTCCTGGTGGATGCTTGAGATTAGGTTAAAACAACCACAAACTGTTTACGAGTTTGTTGGGCGGCAACCTTACTCGTAGATGTGATGCTGTTGTTTCAAACTGTGCAAATGGGCCAGTGTATCTCGTCTGATGTGAAACAGTATTTACTTTAGACAGGATGTATAGTTCATCTATTTTCAGTTTGAGCAACTAACTGTGTATGGGAATTTTCACCTTTTTTTTGTATGTGATGATGATGGCTCTCATGAGTAACTTGCCACAAGCATTCACATCCAGCGATAAAAAAGACTTTAATTAAATGGCAATAGAAATTTGGGAAACTCTTCCTATATTACGTTTTGTTCTTCTTTTTCTCAAGTGCCTGCAAAACCTGCGATACAAAATATTGATCCAACGACATAATAAATAAATAATGTCAATCCGTGGTCTTTCTCAATAGTAAATAAATAATGCTGTACAACATATAGGACTCTATTCATGGTATAATAGCAATAACATTTACAAGTTGTGATGAAATGAAGTCCTGGGATCTGAATCCCAATAAGCTGATGTTCTAGCTAGAACTGAAAGTAGCCTTTGCTTGGCTATCAGTGACATGATTAGCACTATGATTATTTGCGAAGATTCACCGCTAGCTGGAGACATTCAGCATAAACCGCAGGGTCGACACCAAAGTAAGGGCATCATGGATCGCTTCAATTATTAGTGGTTCACAGTCGGACTCAACTTCAACCTTTACAATGTTTAACATTTACAATGTCATGCAGGGGCTTGATCCACCTCTCCTCAGTTTTCTTCCGTTGGTCCTTACTTGCAGCTCTAGTTGGTTGCCAAGAATGGAGCTAATTTTTAATCTTAAATTACAGGTACCTAGGTAAAATTTAATGATTACTTTGCAAGTCAACTTTTCTTCTTGTTAACTGTGATCATTAATGCGCCCGCATGCATGCAACGAATGAATAAGAAGGAAGTAGCACAGTGTCATTATGACTACATGCATGCAAGTAGTAGTACGAGAAAACATCATTAAATTTTGCCTCGGTTAGTGTTAGTGGCCTTGTATAGATGCAAAATGTATTTTTTATAATGGCCTTGTATAAGGGAATGGAGGGAGTATGAACTGTCTTCATACACTCTGAGCCCCAAATCCCAGCTTCTTCTGTTCGTTCTCTAGCCCCCAATTCCAATCTAGATCTGGATCCAGGAGTGTGATTTCAAACCGAGATCGATCGACGATGGCATCGGAGCCGGCCGCGCTACCCGACGATGCCCTCGCCGAGGTCCTCCGGCGTCTCCCGCCGCATGTCCTGGCCAAGGCCCGGCGGGTCTGCACAGCATGGCGCGACGCCGTCGACGACCGCCTGCGCGCCAGCCTGCTTTCGCGTTGGGTGCGCGGCATCTTCATCAACTTCAAGGGGTAGTACTTCTCGGAGTTTTTCTCCCGCCCGTCGACGGGCCCGGCGATCGACGGAGGGTTCGACTTCCTGCCTTGCATGGGCGTCGAGGTCAAGGACCACTGCGACATGGGCGTCAAGGTCAAGGACCACTGCAACGGCCTTTTGCTTTGCCGCGAGTCGAGCTACCGTGCACTGCCGTGCCCGCGCGAGTACGTCGTCAACCCGGCCACCCGGCGGTGGGCGCGTTTGCCCAAACGCCCCCCGCCGCTCGTGCCAGGATTCGACCACACCGCCCACCTCGCGTTCGAGCCCGCCGTGTCGCCGCACTACCAGGTATTTCTGATCCCACGCGTGCCATGGCGACTGCCATCCGACAGAGAATCCGACGATGACGATGACAACCCGTTGCTCGAATTGGAGTGGCCTCCGGCGTCATACCTCGTCGATGTGTTCTCTTTGGTGACTCAGCGATGGGACACGACAACCTTCCTTCGGGAAGGGGAAGCTGCCGGAATTGTCGCCGACATGCAGTTGGATTGGCGCTATGATCCGTCTCTCTATCATGCCGTATACTGGCAAAGCGCACTCTACATCCATTGCCAACATGGCTATCTTACGAGGTACGAAACGTAGCTCACTTCAACAAATTGTATATACCACCATGATTCACCCATGTCTATATTAATCTACTTTATCTGATTTGTTTGTGTTCGCAGAATGTCCTTGTCAGATCACTCGTACAGAGTAATTAAACTACCAGGTGCCGGTGGATTGATAGTATATTCCAACCACCGTCTCGGGAGATCATCGCAAGGGGTGTATTGTGCAATACTTGATGGCTCGAAACGACTTCAGGTTTGGTATCTCAGTGAATCATGCGGTCGAATAGAATGGGTATTAAAACATGATACCCGACTTGAGACCGTCTATGCTCAACAACTGGCCAGACAATGGATCTTACAACAGGTTAACCACCGTAAGGAGTACCCTGAGCTCAAAGCCTCAGTGGACATGAAATATGACTATGACTGGAACTCTGATGAGGATAACGTTCTTGACACTGAAGACGTCGTTGAAGAGGCTGTGGATGTCATTGAAGATGAAGAGCACATATCTTATGGTTTCCTTGGATTTCATCCTTATAAAGAGGTTGTCTTCTTGAATACACCAACAAGAGGACTAGCCTATGACTGGATCAACTCCAAATTTCAGGACTTGGGCAGTTCATGGACATGTCAAGAGTATGGAACACCATATGGAGAGACAGGCGTATCTTCCCCATACACGCCTTGCTGCGTAAGCGCGTTTCCTGGAAATGAATTAGAATCTCTTCTTTTAGACGAGAAGCTATATAGGAACAAGCTAGAACTGGAAGCTCAACTTGAGGAGGAATCCTACTTCACCTACATGGGCGAGTACGAGCTGCGCAAGCAGTCTGGGCGTGCCAAGAGGGTCAAGGATTCTGCCGCGAAGATTCGTCGCAGACACCTCATTGCCGCTCGGTTGGAACCCATCATTACCGACATGAAGTCGAAGGCGATTCGCACCGGGGCGACCGAGTTCAACCTTGGCAAGGCCACCACAGAACTAGTGACCACCACAGTTGGATCCTAGCTTCCTACTTGATTAGTTTCCTGGAAACAAAGATGAGTAGGTTTGTGCGCATCAGATGCCCTAACCGTCGTCAGCTGCATTTATCTTGGCTTACTTATCTATTTGTGCTCAACTGCTGTCGGAGCCTTGTCTCTGTACTCTGCACAATTTGTATCCTTGTTATTTCGGTTTGCCTTGTATAATAAGACGACTATGTGACTTTGTTATTTTCCACTATCGAGCTTTATTAATTTAAACCCGATTGTTTCTTGTGACTTTCTTCTAAAGTAGGTATGTGCAAGCATATTGGAAAATCAACTTGAAGATGACTCATGTCTGAGGCCATGTGTAGTGACTTGTTGGCTCAATGAAAAACAATGTTTTATACCCTTTTTGTGTACCTTGCATTTAATTGGAGAAAGCTAACATTGTCTGCCATGCATCTGCCTTCCTATTTTGTCAAGAACGCACACAAGTTCTGGTTCTTGCTTCCTGGTGGATGCTTGAGATTAGGTTAAAACAACCACAAACTGTTTACGAGTTTGTTGGGCGGCAACCTTACTCGTAGATGTGATGCTGTTGTTTCAAACTGTGCAAATGGGCCAGTGTATCTCGTCTGATGTGAAACAGTATTTACTTTAGACAGGATGTATAGTTCATCTATTTTCAGTTTGAGCAACTAACTGTGTATGGGAATTTTCACCTTTTTTTTGTATGTGATGATGATGGCTCTCATGAGTAACTTGCCACAAGCATTCACATCCAGCGATAAAAAAGACTTTAATTAAATGGCAATAGAAATTTGGGAAACTCTTCCTATATTACGTTCTGTTCTTCTTTTTCTCAAGTGCCTGCAAAACCTGCGATACAAAATATTGATCCAACGACATAATAAATAAATAATGTCAATCCTTGGTCTTTCTCAATAGTAAATAAATAATGCTGTACAACATATAGGACTCTATTCATCGTATAATAGCAATAACATTTACAAGTTGTGATGAAATGAAGTCCTGGGATCTGAATCCCAATAAGCTGATGTTCTAGCTAGAACTGAAAGTAGCCTTTGCTTGGCTATCAGTGACATGATTAGCACTATGATTATTTGCGAAGATTCACCGCTAGCTGGAGACATTCAGCATAAACCGCAGGGTCGACACCAAAGTAATGGCATCATGGATCGCTTCAATTATTAGTGGTTCACAGTCGGACTCAACTTCAACCTTTACAATGTTTAACATTTACAATGTCATGCAGGGGCTTGATCCACCTCTCCTCAGTTTTCCTCCGTTGGTCCTTACTTGCAGCTCTAGTTGGTTGCCAAGAATGGAGCTAATTTTTAATCTTACCACTCAGTTTTAATTTTGAAAGGTCCCTTTATTTTAACATGAGAAAAATTCACTACAGGTCCTCATACTTGTCGCCTTGGCCGCATTTCTCCTCGTACTTGCAAATACCCAAAATACAGTCCTACAACTTGTCTCAGGTGGTCGTCTACGGTCCAAAATACCATTTCCTCTATGTATCTGCTGACTTGGCGGTTGACTGGCGTGTCCACGTGGGCTTTGACCGCCAGCTCATCACCAGACGCCCTGGGCGGGGGGATTGGGGGGAATGCGAGGTTTTTTTTTGCAAAAATGATGGGCAATAAAACATCAGCCACCTGGTCGGACCGATCCATCCACTTGGTCGGACCAGACCTAGTCGCTCTGCTCCCCTCCCCTGCTCCGCTCCGCTCCCTTCCCCTGTTCGTCGTCTCTACCGAGGTGCGACCTCGACCTCGCCGGGCGTGGCGGTCTGTGGCGACGCCCGCCATGAGCTCATCATCGAACGCCGAGCCGCCGCCATCTGCTCCGTTTGGTAGGGGCCTGCGTGATGTTCCTCTCGCTCCCTCCTGTCGTGAGGATCATGCCGAGCCGCCGTTGTATGGTACGTCGCCGTCGTCAGCACCTTCTCTGCCTGATCTGTCCATTTTAGCTCCAGGAAAGATTGCGCGCCGTACTCAATTGCGCATACGGGGTAGGGTTTAGGGTTCTTGGCCCTCTTTTTTGTCACGGGTTTAGGGGTGCGTATGTAGGGTTTTAGTCGTGGATGGTGAAGTTAGTGGCAGATCCAAATTAGGGTTTCACGAGGCCTTTCAATAGGTTATTTGTAGATGAAATATGGTTGCACAAAGGTAATTAAGGTTTTGATTGCTCGAATTGTTAGGCAAAGGGGATGCCCTGTTTTTTTGTCCGTCAATGTTAGCTTAAATTAGGTTACATGCGTCGACCATATGTTGTTTTGTTAATGAGATGACTGTTTGTTTGCCAGATCCACCAAAGGAACAGGCTTTTGGATGTAAAAGATCATACATTTGTTTACTTGATATGCCATGAATGCCATCGTTTTGTTCTGGAAATGTCTGAACTTTCAGTTAACTATTTTTGAACCTATATCTGATACATTTGTCTACGTTGTCTATTTCTAAACCTGTATGAAAATTGACATTTCGGTTAGATTGGTGCACTTACACTGAGCATATTTGTAGTAACGATGCTTCCAAATAGCATGTTTGGGTCATGTCTTCAAGTGGTTGAACATTTTTTGTCTGAACATTTTTTTGTCTGAACATTTTTTTGTCTGAACATTGACAGTTGTGTTAGACTGGTGCAGTTACATTGTGTCAATTTCCTAGACCAGATGATCTCAAATAGCATGGTTGTGTCATTGTGCAGTTGCATTGTCTCTTCATCTCTGTTATTACTGTCTGTTGTTGCATTGTGCAGTTGCATTGTCTTCATCTCCGTTATTACTGTCTGTCTGAAGATTTTTTTCATTTCATTTGTTTTGCAGGCCCCCTAAGCAACCACTTCTTTGTTGATGTCATACATGGTGGCTATTTCCTATGTGCAGGCAAGCATAGGGGTTATCACAAGGGCCACTCCATTTGGTATGACAACTGTGATATAGATAATTGGACACCTACAGTTGTTGCTAGTCTGGTGGAGGAAATTGGGTATGAGTTTGACGGCAGGATAAGGGCTTACTGGTGTGTTCCTGGACTGACAGTCTATAAGAATGGCTTAAGAGAAATTAAGTTAGGGGACAACACAATGACAGAGAACATGAAGGATTGTGTTCCGAATGGGAACCATTTCCAGCAGATATTTGTTGATCATGATGACAACATGAGGTCATATATTTCCTCTGTTCCAATTCATTCTGATGATGAGGATCCTCCTTTGGCCAAATTCAGTGGCCTGAGGCCTAAGAAGGAGCAAGTGCAAGAGGAGCAGTCACAGCCAGTGCAGGAGGATCATTCTGACCAAGTGCAAGAGGAAAATGCTGAGCAAGTGCAAGAGGAGCAGGCTGAGCAAGATCAATTATATGATGCGGAAAGTGAGGAAGAGTCAGAAGAAGAGGAGTACATACCAGGTCCTCCTCGGCCAGGAGAATATATTCATACATTTCAATTTGAGTTTAGGGGCAGAAGGAAAACCTGTAGGGTTTTAAACATGGATGCAGAAGATGGAATTGGTGATTCAGCAATGAGATCTTCAGCAATTCATGGTTTTGATGAAGATTTCAATCCACAACTTGTTGATTCAGATATTGATCTGAAAGATGATGATGACTTGTTTGACAGAAATGTTGATTGTGATAAAGGTAAAGGTTTAGCAGTCGAAGAACAACCTGATGATCCTATTGAAGATGTGGACCTGTGTTTGCCTTCTTCTGATGAAGATAAGGTTAAGCTCAATTTCAAAAGTTTCAGATAAGCAGACCTGTCTAAACCAGAGTTCCAAGTGGGACAGACATTTGCAAGTGTTGAGTTACTAAGGAAAGCTATCAAAGAGTACAGCTGTAGGGAAAGGGTTGACATTAAGTGCCCCAGAAATGATAGGAAAAGACTGCAAGCCATTTGTGAAGAAGGTTGCCCTTGGTCTTTGTTTACATCATTTGATTGCAGAAAAAATGCTTGATGGTCAAGAAATACAATCCAAAGCATACCTGCATAAAGAAATGGTATGTGAAGTCATTCACTGCTCCCTTCATGGCAGGAAAATACATTGATTCTTTCAGAGTAGATGAAAACATGAACATGAAGAATTTTGCAAGGGTGGTTCAGAAGGACTGGAACATGACAGCTACAAGGAGCAAACTTAGAAGGGCTAAGAGACTAGTCAAGAAGGTCCTTGAAGGAGATGGGTTAGAGCAGTACAACAGCATGTGGGATTATGCACAAGAAGTCAAAACATCAAACCCATGTACCTCTTTCTATGTGGGTGTCAATGATGGCATATTTGGAAGTTGCTATTTCTCTCTGGATGCCTGCGAAAGGGGTTTCATGCAAGCCTACAGGCCTGTCTTATGTTTAGATGGATGTCACCTGAAGAGAAAGTGTGGAGGTGTTATGTTGTGTGTTGTTGGAATGGATCCCAATGACTGCATTTACCCTCTGGCATTTGCAGTTGTGGATGTACAGAACACTGATACGTGGAAATGGTTTTTGTCAAACCTGAAGAGTGACTTGGGAATACTCAACACAGAGCCATGGACTATTATGTCACACGAACAAAAGGGGCTGATCAAGGGAGTGAGGCAGCACTTTCCTGATTCAGAGCACAGACATTGTGTCGGGCATATATGGCAGAATTTTCAGCAAACACACAAAGGAGATGTACTGAAGAACCAGTTATGGAAGTGTGCAAGGAGCACAACACCTGAACTTTGGGCTGCAAACATGGAGGAACTAAAGGCCATGAGCTTGGAAGCCTACACGTGGCTTGAGCAACTACCACCAAACACTTGGGTCAGGGGTTTCCAAAGAGAATTGCCTAAGTGTGATATCCTTCTGAACAACAATTGTGAGGTTTTCAACAAATATATCCTTGAGGCTAGGGAGATGCTGATCAGATCAATGGTTGACAAGATCAAAACCCAGCTCATGGTCAGATTCTACAATAAAAGAAAGGAGTCAGACAACTGGCCTGGCTCTATATGCCCAAAAATAAGGAAAAGAGTTGAAAAGAATATTG